TTGCAGAATACATTTTGGCCTAAATTTATGATGAACAATTATTTATTTGCAACATTTTATAACGGAAACAAAGAAAAACGTGGGGTTTAATTTTTTTGTTAATTTAGCCGATGATAAAAACCCCGGCGGTGATTAAATACCACCAAAAGAAAGTTCTAGTTGTGTGAACAAAATGTTAAAATTTTAATTTTGGGTACATCGTTGCATGACCGCGCAATTGCCATTCAAAGTGTGAGAGAGCTGAAAATTGGCCTGAGCAGGAAGGGGGTAAAAGTGTCCAGTACTGAAGTGGTTAATACAGTGATTTCCACAAGATGGTATATGCATAATTACATTGATCTAATGTAAAAAGTCCACAGGTACGGTATAGTTATAAGCAGGGGCAGACTGATAACTCATGGGGCCCCCGGGCAATAAGGGATCATGGGGCCCCTGTGTCCTTGCCCAAACTCAAAAAAGCCTATAAAAAAGGTACCAGGGGCATCTCATGGGGCCCCCTACTGACCCCAGGCTCTCGGGCAGAGCCCGAGTTTCCAAACGGTCAGTCCGCCCCTGGTTATAAGCATAGTTACATTGGTTCAAGCTGGAACAATGTCCATACCATGAATTCGGGTGAATATCAAATGCTGCATATAAGTATATTGCATTTTTATTTCCAACCAGTAGATGGAGCTTTGATCTCCTTTTTTCACGTTTTCTCCTGTTGTCTGGTGTATATAGAGCTCAATAGCTCAAGAAGACTATAAAAATCAGTATACATAGCAAAAATACATATAGAGAAAATGAACCGTGTGTCTGTAGATCAAGGGCAGCACATCCTTTGTAACAATACCAAAGAATAGAGAATACATTATGGGATTTTAAAGGTGCCTTAACAAAAACCCATTTACATAAAATTATTTATTTATTTTATTTCTTAAATTATTTTATTTTTTATTAAACATTTATTTCCAAATCCAAAGTTGAAATAATTTTTTAAAATTGATTACAAAAACTTTCATCCACATAGTGGTATGCTGAAATGATAAATCCGTATTTTGTCGCGGTGTAGTCACGTTTCACCTCTATTCTGGCTTCCTCAGGAGATAGTTTAAGTGCTGCACTATGGATCACTAATTAAATGTGTACCCTCCTTTTTCTACCCTCAAAAAGTTAATACCTTCCACCCTAGAAAGTGTAGTAAAATATATATAAAACCTTTTTGTGATATAATAAATTCCCAAAATAAATTAAAAATCATAAATATATATCAAGAAATATAAAATATAAATAAAATAAAAAATACAAAAATTCCCCAAATCCAAAATGTCCAATAATAAATCCAAAGATAAATCCCAAAATAAGTCCAAAAACCGTGTCCAAAATTCCAATCTTTTTCCTCCAAATACGAAAGTTGACCTCTATTTCATCCAAAAATGTACCTCAAAAAAAATAAATATAAATAATCTAGTGCAATTCAATTAATTAAAAGAAATCACCCCGTGCAACTTCACACTTCACTTCAAAATATTTGTGAAAAAAAAATTATATATATATATATATATATATATATATAATTAAATTATTCTAATCTTAATTATTTTTTATTTTTTTTTATTTTATATAGTGCATTTAAACACATCAATCCAAAGTGTACATTAGAATTTATTATATCACAAAAAGGTTTTATATATATTGCACTATGGATCACTATGGAGAATTTCACAATCGGCCCAGTATGCATCCACTCCCTGCAAAAGGCAGATTTAGTGAGCCATAGGAGAGACAAGAGGGACTCGGGCGCAGGGGCGGACTGACATCTCATGGGGCCCCCGGGCAATTGGGGATCATGGGGCCCCTGTGTCCTTGCCCACACTCAAAACACACCCAAAAAAGCCTATAAAAAGGTACCAGGGGCATTTTATGGGGCCCCCCACTGACCCCGGGCCCTCGTGCAGTGCCCGAGTGCTCGAATGGTCAATCCGCCCCTGCTCGGTCGACTTCCAGAAAGGATTTGCCGATATGTAAGTAGGTAGGTATGTTCCATCATCGGCCAAACAATTCAAAATCAATCCCCAATATTTGGTTTGTGGAATAGCCCATCAACATCAGATTAAGGGAAGTCACTCCGCATATCCACCGGCATGCCATGTTCATAGCAAAAATACATTTAGGGCCGGTTCACACTACAGAAACGCAGTCCAGATGCGTTCTGGATGCGCTTCTGAATGCCTGTTTTTGATGCACGTTCCAGTGAGTAGTGGTATGCTGAAATGATGAATCCATATCTTGTTGCGGTGTAGTCACGTTTCACCACTATTTTGGCTTCCTCACGAGTTTTCTGGTGTATATAGAGCTCAATAGCTTTCGACACGGTCAACCACCCCCTCCTTCTCAAACAACTGCACTCTCTTGGCCTCAGAGACTCTGCTGTCTCCTGGCTCTCCTCCTATCACAACGCTCCTTCAGTGTTACCTATAACGCCACCACCTCCCCCTCACTCCCCCTCTCTGTTGGGGTCCCCCAAGGCTCTGTCCTCGGGCCCCTTCTCTTCTCCATCTACACCTCCTCCCTTGGTCAACTGATACACTTTCACGGCTTCAACTACCACCTCTATGCCGACGATACGCAAATCTATCTCTCTACCCCTCGCCTCACCCCTTCAGTCTCCGCCCAAATCACCCGCCTACTGAACAACATATCAGACTGGATGTCACTCCACTTCCTCAAACTAAACACTTCCAAAACCGAGCTCCTAGTTTTCCCCCCAGCCCGTGCCCCCCCCCCCTTCCCCGACTTCTCCATCACGACCAACAACGCCACCATCAGTCGCATCCCGCAAGCCAGAGTACTAGGTGTCCTCCTAGACTCCAATCTATCCTTCCAGCCCCCAGATCGCTGACAAACTCATATAGACTTCACCTCCGCAACATCTCCAAAATACGACCGTTCCTAACTCCAGAAACTACAAAGCAACTCATTCACTCCTTCATTATATCACGACTTGACTATTGTAACTCCCTCCTCGCCGGCCTTCCCCAACACAGGCTATCCCCGCTCCAGTCTATCCTGAACTCAGTGGCCAGACTCATCCACCTTACCAACCACTCTGTATCCGCCACCCCTCTCTGCCAATCCCTCCACTGGCTTCCGATTGCCCAACGGATAAAATTCAAAATATTGGACATTGACGTACAAATCTGTTCATAATACTGCCCCAAACTACCTCACCGACCTGATATCCATCTAACACCCAAAACGCACTCTCCGCTCCTCACAAGACCTCCTACTTTCCAGTTCCCTGGTCTCCTCCTCCCATGCCCGTCTCCAGGACTTCTCCAGGGCTTCCCCCATCCTCTGGAACTCACTACCCCAATCCATCAGACTGTCACCTTCCCTCCTCACCTTTAGGCGCACTCTGAAAACCCATCTCTTCAGAGAAGCCTACCCCACCCTCACCTAATTGCCGATCTCCTCCACTCTTCCCACCACTCCATCCCCCAAAGCTATTTCCTCCTGTACCACTCTCCCCTCCCTCCTAGATTGTAAGCTCCAAGGAGCAGGGCCCTCGAACCCCTCGTGTATTGTATTGTATTGTTACTGTATTGTCTCCCATTATAATCTACACCTCCTTCCTTGGTCAACTGATACACCCCCACGGCTTCAACTATCATCTCTATGCCGACTACACGCAAATCTATGTCTCTACCCCTCGCCTCACCCCTTCAGTCTCCGCCCGAATCACCAGCCTACTGAACAACATATCAGACTGGATGTCGCTCCACTTCCTCAAACTAAACCCTTCCAAAACCGAGCAAACTGTTGGCGCTATATAAATACTGTATAATAATAATAATAGCTAGACTATAAAATCTATGAGTTAAAGGAATAGAAATTAAAAATAAAAATAAAATGTAAAAATATTAAAAATAAATTAAAATGAAACAATAAAATACAATTTTAGTAACAGTGCCGGGTAAATCACAAGGAATTAAAATAATTAACAAATCACGTACTATTTTGTTTTCTTTTCATTTCCTGTAAATGTATAAAACGTTTTCTAGGCAGCCGTCATGTTACTCTACACGTGCGCCGGGGACAATGGCTTACAGTAGAAGAGATGAATGTACAAATCTATTTATGTGTAAAGCACAAAGCAGGTCAAATTCTGCAAAAAGAAAAATCTGTCAGGTGGTACATTGTAATTGCTGGGGTTGTCCTTGAAATTATACACATTTTTCTGTACCGGAGGGGGGGGGGGGGTTCATTCAGCTCACAAAAACATGTCCTTGCTGGAACTTTATAGCATTCCAACACGTCTTGTATGTAGAACCATACATATCAGTCCCTGCCTGTCGGAGGAGCTTGCAATCTAATTTTTTGGTTACAGCTAAAATGCCTATCAGTAGGTTTCTGGGAAGAAACAGAGGAAGCTCCCACCCAGTGTCAGTGAGAGGAATAGTAACCCCATTGATGGTGTCAGTGGGAGGAATAGTAACCCCATTGATGGTGTCAGTGGGAGGAATTGTAACCCCATTGATGGTGTCAGTGGGAGGAATAGTAGCCCATCCATGGTGTCAGTGGAAGGAATAGTAACCCCATTGATGGTGTCAGTGGGAGGAATAGTAGCCCATCGATGGTGTCAGTGGGAGGAATAGTAACCCCATTGATGGTGTCAGTGGGAGGAATAGTAGCCCATCAATGGTGTCAGTGGAAGGAATAGTAACCCCATTGATGGTGTCAGTGGGAGGAATAGTAGCCCATTGATGGTGTCAGTGGGAGGAATAGTGCCCTGTCTTTTGTGCCAGTGGAATAAATAGTACCTCATATCAGTGGAAGGAGCAGCTCCCCAAGGGCTAGATAAAGGCAAGCAAAGGGCCACATCTGGCCCGTGGGCCGCAGTTTTGAGACCCCTGCTCTAGGCACATCATACTTGGCTGCTAGGGGGCACCAGATACACAGTCCTATAACAATCAATGGCCCAGGACCTGAACATACATTGAGGAAGGAAGTGTCTGCTACAGGGGCAGACTGACCATTTGGAAACTCGGGCACTGCCCGAGGGCCCGGGGTCAGTAGGGGGCCCCATGAGATGCCCCTGGTACCTTTTTATAGGGTTTTTTTTTAGTGTGGGCAAGGCCCCATGATCCCCTTTGCCTGGGGGCCCCATGAGTTGTCAGTCCGCCCCTGCTCCCACCTACGCAGAGGGAACGTACAAACTCCATGCAGACAGATCCACAGTGGAAGTTTAACCGAGGACATTCACATTAGCGCGTCTCCAAAGCCGATTCCCAGTGCGACTTTGAGGAGACTTGTGCCGCGACTCTGATCCGACCTTACGTTCACTGAACTAAAGTCGCATCAAATGTTGTACCAAGGTAGCGCAGGAACTACTTTCAAGTCGATGTGACTTGAAGTCGCACAGATTTGAATGGTGCTCCTTGCCAAGTGCGACTTGTCATGTGACTTTGGACCCCAAAGTCGCATGGAAAGCCGCACAATTGTGAATGGACTCTTACTGCAATTCTGACTTCTAAATAATGTCTGTATCACGTTCTGCCACACCCAGACAGGGATGTACCAGAGTTCACGCTACAGTAGCGATAGCTGCATGGTAGTTCTCAGGGTAGGATTCCTGATGCACAAATGTGCTTGAGTGGAGTGCCTTGAGACTTATTTTATTATTTTTTTCACACAAATAGAGCTTTCTTTTGGTGATATTTAATCACCACTGAGTTTTTTATTTTTTGCTAAATAAAACAAAAACACCTGAAACTTTAAAAAAAAAAAAAAAAAAACGCACTTTTCTTCATTCCTGTTATAAAATTTTGCAAATAATTAACATTTCTTCATACATTTAGGTCAAAATGTATTCTGCTACATTTCTTTGATGAAAATAATAATAATAATAATTGAATTTGTATTTTTTTAAATGTTTCTATTTTTTTTTATTTTTTATTACATTTTTTTTTTTTTTTTTACTATTTACCATAGTAACATTGAACTACTCTGGGCGAGTGATCAAGAATTATTTTTTTTAAACACATTATGATTGCTAATACTGATGTATTTAATTGATATTTGCAATCATTGTTACTGAATGAAACCGATTCATTCAGTCTTTTGTTGTGATTAGCTGTGATTGGGCAAAGCTGATCACATGATACAGATGGGCTGTGATTGGCCCTGTCTGTGTCACATGACTGCCTTGACCAGTCACAGCTAACAACATATTTGTATACAATGGTTGGCATGACAGGAAGCCATCCATTGTATACAATTGACATGTGATCTGCTGTGATTGGTCACAGCGGTCACATGACACTGGCAACGGGCCGGTGTAGTGATATGTCATTGGCTGTGTCCCGCGCCGCCTGATTGGCTCCTTTAGACAGGATGTCATATGATGCCCAGTCACAACGAGGAGTGTTCCGCCCGGCCGTCAATCTGCTATAGGCCGGTCGGGAAGGGGTTAAACAAGTATTATATTAACAAGCGCATCACACAAACGAGCGTGCCGTAAAATGCAAACGAGATCGACTCCAGGCCCACAGCCTGCAACTTACGCGTTTCGAGGGACAACCTCCTTCCTCAGAGTCAAAAGTATGAATGACCCCCACTTATATATTATACCGTGCTAATCAGGCATGATAATACATCCCTCCCCCTTGATAATCAGGGGTGGGGCCACAGGTCACCTGAGCATTCCAATCTATGAACAGCATGGGCCACACATTGAATTTGTCTCCATGTGTCATGCTGGTTATAGATTGGACTGCTCAGGTGACTTTTTGCCCCACCCCCTGATTATCAAGGGGGAGGGATGTATCATTATAGCTGACTGGCACAGTATAATATATAAGTGGGGGTCATTCATAGATTTAGCTCTGAGGAAGAGGGTTGTCCCTCGAAACGCGTAAGCTGCCAAGGACACTGTGTGGTCTTCCCATGTCATCAGTTGAGTGCTGTGGACCTGGAGGCGATCTCCTTTGCATTTTATGGCACGCTCATTTGTGTCGTGCGCTTGTGAGTATAATACTTGTTCTATTTATCCAATAAAATTGTAGAATGGTAATGCGCTCGGTTGGTGCGCCCTCTCTTTGTTGTTGTTTTCTAGGTTTTCTGATGGTAACAGTGCCTGAGCAATGTGCGTTGAAATGGCCCTCGCCGGAAGCATGTGTGGCAGGGTGACAACACAGGAGCTCAATCAAAAGACAGGGACAGAGTGTTGTCACCTTATAACAGGAAGTGCCTGCAAAAGGCCCTTCATGGCAGGATCATGACAATTATTCTAGAAAAAGTGGCATATTTTAAAAGGTTTTTGAAATATCAGTAAAATGTTTAAAGTGTTCCTAAACCCCGGACCCTGCATTCACTATATCTGATCTCCCTGGACCCTGCATTCACTATATCTGGTCTCCCCGGACTCTGCCTTCACTATATCCGGTCTCCCCGGTCCCTGCATTCACTATATCTGGTCTCCCCGGACTCTGCCTTCACTATATCCGGTCTCCCCGGACCCTGCATTCACTATATCCGGTCTCCCCGGTCCCTGCATTCACTATATCCGGTCTCCCCGGTCCCTGCATTCACTATATCTGGTCTCCCCGGTCCCTGCATTCACTATATCTGGTCTCCCCGGACCCCGCATTCACTATATCTGGTCTCCCCGGACCCTACATTCACTATATCCGGTCTCCCCGGACCCTGCATTCACTATATCTGGTCTCCCCGGACCCTGCATTCACTATATCCGGTCTCCCCGGACCCTGCATTCACTATATCTGGTCTCTCCGGACCCTGCATTCACTATATCTTGTCTCCGCGGACCCTGCATTCACTATATCTGGTCTCCCAGACCCTGCATGCACTATATCTGGTCTCCCCGGACCCTGCATGCACTATATCTGGTCTCCCAGACCCTGCATGCACTATATCTGGTCTCCCCGGACCCTGCATTCACTATATCCGGTCTCCCCGGACCCTGCATTCACTATATCTGGTCTCCCCGGACCCTGCATTCACTATATCTGGTCTCCCCGGACCCTGCATGCACTATATCTGGTCTCCCTGGACCCTGCATTCATTATATCCGGTCTCCCCAGACCCTGCATTCACTATATCTGGTCTCCCCAGACCCTGCATTCACTATATCTGGTCTCCCCGGACCCTGCATTCACTATATCCGGTCTCCCCAGACCCTGCATTCACTATATCTGGTCTCCCCAGACCCTGCATTCACTATATCCGGTCTCCCCGGACCCTGCATTCACTATATCTGGTCTCCCCGGACCCTGCATTCACTATATCCGGTCTCCCCAGACCCTGCATTCACTATATCTGGTCTCCCCGGACCCTGCATTCATTATATCTGGTCTCCCACAGTACACAGAACATGGAAATGCAATTATTTTAGTAAATATAAACTGCTAAATCCCTTTTGTCATCAGCAGTATATAGCAGTCTTGTGACTTCAATCAGTGTCCAGCAGAGCACTGGTTAAAGCTTGTAGGAGGAGTTTTCATTCTGCTCTAGGAGGATGCAGAACCTCTGACCTCTGCCTGGACAGTGCTGATTGGCCCTGTGCTGATCACATGCACTCTCCCAAGAAACAAAAACAATTGAGTACTGTCCGTGATACTTTTTTTATTAGCACTAACATGCAATTTTATGTTAGTGCAAATAAAAAAAGTATCACGGACAGTACTCAATTGTTTCTGTCGCCAGTGCACTAATACGGCTACAATCACCTCTCCCAAGAAACAAAAAACCTCTCTAGCAATACTTACAAAACTGAGCATGTGCAGAGTGATTTCACAAGATATGTCTTATCAGGAGATTAGAAGGGGACACTGGGAGAAGGGGAGGATCAGAGAAGACCGGATCAAACAGCCTTTTTACACAATGAAGAGGATTAACCCCTTAGGTTCTGCAGTGAGTATAACAAGCATGCTTTACTGCATCTACACACTGATTGTACTGCTGTGGGTTTAGTAACACTTTAAGGATATGTGAACAGGGGCGGACATTTGGCCACTCGGGCACTTCCCGAGGGCCCGGGGTCAGTAGGGGGCCCCATGAGATGCTCCTGGTACTTTTCATTGCCTTTTTCATAGGCTTTTTTTTGGCTGTGGGTGAGGACACAGGGGCCCCATGAGATGCTCCTGGTACCTTTCATTGCCTTTTTCATATGCTTTTTTTGGCTGTGGTTGAGGACACAGGGGCCCCATGATCCCCTATTGCCCGGGGGCCCCATGAGTTGTCAGTCCGCCCCTGTATGTGAGATTTTAGTGATTATATTTGCATTTATTCTAAATAACTGCAACTCTCACGTATCTTTCATATAACATTTCCTATTTTTTCTTTCACTGTAAGGATGTCCAACCATTGATAATAAAATGCCCCCCCCCCCCCCCCTCTTTTTGTATCTGGTTTATTGCAGCCTGATCAGAAATTTCAGCCGCCAATGGAATATAGCGCAGAGCATTTCTACAGGTAATTATATGCAGCGAAGTGATAAATGAATTGACCAATGTAAACTAATGATGATCTATAAATGATTATTTTAATAATTAAAGCCGCAAAGTAAGAGAAGTGGGGGCAGGGAGCGGGAATTTAATGGATTCCTCTGAGATTATTTGAAGGAGCGGCTCAGCCGTAATAATGGTAGATTTATATTCCATTAAGGTACGACTCCGGGTGCGGAGGAATTCTCTTGCAGCGCGGTTACATAATAATTATTCTAAATACAATGGTAAGAGCCGGGGCTGGTCAGAAACTTTTCATCCAGAAGACTTTCCGTTCTCTTTCTGTCCATTAATTATTAATCCCGAATCAGCAGATTACAATTTATATGAGATTACGGCCCCTCGCCTCTATTGGATGTATCTAAGAACACTCAGAAAATGTATCTCCGGGGATTTATTATAAAATATAAAAAAAAAAAAAAAAGACTTGCGTGTCATCTGATTGGTGGACGGACGTTAGAATTCGGAATAGTTACTGACTCCCATATACAGGGGCGGACTGACCATTTGGAAACTCAAGCACTTACCGAGGGCCCGGGGTCAGTAGGGGCCCCCACGAGATGCCCCTGGTACCTTTC